CGTTGTCCTCTGGGATCAGATCGAACTTGACGAAAGACTTCGAGCCATCGACACTGTCTTTGGTTACGTGCTGCACGGCCACCACCGAGACCACCGCTCAGACCAGTCAGACCATCACACCTACCATGGTCTCTGCATGGAGAAGATGTGGGATCTTGAAACCATCGGAATCATACCAGAGAAAGACGCCGTCGCAGAACCTGATTTACCCAAGCCGACGTGGAACGAGTCAGAAGGACGGTACCAGATGGGGCTGACGTGGAGGTCAGATGCCAGACCAATCTCCAACTTTGACGCTACAAAGGCGCGCACATCCCGTATGAAGGACAGACTAGGTGAAGAGGCTGTTGTCCAGTACGAGACCCAACTCACTGACTTGTTGGCAAGTTCTATCATTGAACCCATACCACCATTCGATTACAGTTCCAATGAGGTGCCACCCAGGAACAACTGTCACGGTGGGGAGCCCACAGTGAGTCCACCTGAGTCCCAAGGCGGCTCAGAAGAAGAGTCCAACACTCACAGTCAATCCTGGGGCACTGTGTGTGAGAAGAGTCGTGACCGGGCGGCTACAACAGCACCAGCAGGCCCAAACCAGCCTGGGATTGGCGACGGGATAGTCCACGCGCCGACCCAAGCGTTGAAGACTGAAAACGACCCTTCGCACGCATTTTACCTTCCACATCGTGGACTCCACCGCAATGGGAAGCTTCGGATAGTCTTTGATGGCTCGGCAAAGGACGGCACGGGTATCAGTCTTAATGACTACTTGGATACCGGTCAAAACCTCCTCTTAAAGCTACCTGCAGCGGCCTAATGGTCAGCCGTTGACGCTGTTGTAATTCATACACTGAACAAATGGCAGCGAGAGATGGAGTGACTCGAGACGGAGATAGCTCTCCGCTTATGTAAATCAGAGCTATTTGAAATATGCCGCTCTCAGAACTTATATTGCCCACTTATATGACTCACATCGTTGCCTTTACAGTTCGGCATCGCTGCCGACTAGCGTTACCGATTTTCCCTTACAAATGCCCATGGATTAATTTGTCTGATGCCCACTGCTTGACCCACCTGTGTCGCACATCTGGCAGAGTGCTTTGTTTGCTTGACCCACCTTGTGTCACACATCTGACGGAGTGTTTTGTTTGCCATCAGACTCTGACCACTTCGCCATGTCAGTTCTGGAGCTGGTGGATGGGGACGCCACCGCCGCCTACCATCTGGAGCGGACACTCCTCAAGGCCCAGCTGGACCCGGTCGCCCGTGTCTTGCCACTGGGGCGGGCCTTAACCCGCAAGATGGGACGCAAACGCCATGGCCTTATGGGCTGCGACCGGTGGTACCAGCAAGACGGCATCCATTTAAATCGGGACGGCTATGAAAAAGTGGCGGACGCTGGATCATTCCCGATGTGGCTGACGCTTAAACCAGAGGCGTAAGCGACACCGACATCAGTGCGCGCGTGATGGCGAATGGCGATGGACCCACGTACGGACCAACCGAGTGGTAGTGGGATGTGATACGATGGGGAGTGCCTGACTTCTCGTTTGAGTACCTATGAGAAGATGGTGTTTAATTTTGTTTGTGTGAAAGTTGTTGAAATGCAGCGTGCATTTCAAGATGGGGAGAATGTTACTTGTTGTCAGCGACTCAGCGCCTGTTGTTAGATGTAAGCGCGCCCGCTATTCTGGCCGCCGCTCGTGACGTCACTCACTGACCGGGCGGTCAGGCGGCCCGGGCGGTGTGTGCCGGCCGGCCGATAGCCCGGGGCGCGGCCCAGCCGACCTCGGAGGCGGCCGCGCCGGACGGAGACCAGTCGCGCTCGGAACGCCACCCCGTAGGTACGGCCTAGATTGCCGACCCTTGCACACGGGCTCTGACGGGACGACGCGTCTCTGGTGACGGGTGGGTTCGGACTCGCTGCCGACTCAGTGCACCCCGACACCACACCAGACGGAGTCATCCGCGGGTGACTCCATTGCACTCTGGTGTCCGTCCGAATTAACTTGTCCCCCACAAACTTATAACTCGAACATATCTGGGCATATCAATCTTGATTATTGGGCATTATAGTTCCTCGTTGTGCATTGTTAATTTTTGGCACCGTATATCTTGTTCTTCTCTACCGTTGTGCTCACGGTGAATACAATTAACTCGTGTCATATTGCATCTGGGAGAGGGCCTCGACCGGCCTAGCGGCCGTCATACCATATCTATTATCTAACGTAATTCGGCCAACGTTTTTTCAGACACAGTAGGTACACATACAGTCCACTTACCAGCCAGAATATCTCAACAATGACATGTTGAATGTTAACTAAATTTATAGCAATATGCATCCATTTTCTCTTCAGGTCTTTTCAGCACTGATGCAGCAAATCGAATCATCTATCAGCAAAACAAAGCCGGCTATTTTCATCGAGTATTTCTTTTTAATGTAATTACTACAAATACAACGCCCACATGTCCGTGATTTGTCTGGAACAATATGTCCTGTGTAATTATCGCCGCTAAGAACGCTCGGGGGCATCTGGCTGCGGTGATTTATCACAAATTGGATTGGTCATATAATGGTAGGTCATAAACGCTCCCAACACCACTCTGAGCTGTATCCAGCCACCAAAAATCGGACCTCCACTGACCCGTGACCCCGGGTATTCATTCCCCGTGATGAATGGAGCCTGGCTGGGGGCAGCGCGGGATGCTGCGTTAGCTCCGGGCTCCTATCTCCGACTCGTTTCCCACGGCAGTAGGGCCGTGCTCGGACCGAACGGAGCCGGTCGGCCGGGCCCGGGGCGCGGGAGGCGGCCTGTACAGCGTCATGAACCAGCAGTCCCGCCCTGAACGGACGTCTGATGACCGGGCACGGCCCCAGTGGGCGCCAGATCGGGCGGCGCCGGCGGGAGGGTGGGGAGGGAGGGAGTGGACCGGTTTGGGTCTCAGCTGTATCGCCGCCGGCAGCAGGTAAACCGTGAGCGTAAGGAGCCGTAAGGAGCCGTAAGGAGCCGTAAGCCTCTGTAACTCGTCACGGAGGCCCAGAGGCCATGTTTGACCCTGCATCGGTTAGTGCGGCTAGTAAGCCTGTCGGATCACGCCACCGCATCAGCCTTCTGTTGACTGTAATGCACTTTATGTCACAACGCTCAGAGTTTACTGTGGTCTTCCACTATCTGAGCTTTGTAGATAAGTGCATCTAAAAAGCTCAATTCGTGTAGAACATCCGTTTGCTAGTTCCTCCAACTGTGGAGTGTTTTTCATCTCCCTACAACCTATCAACTTTATCCGATCTGTGTGCTCATGGAGTAGCTCATCCTAACTCCTAAACTTTGTACGGTGGCCCTCCTCTCCCGGCCTCTGTACCACTGCGCCGATCCTCTCTCCCCTCCACCGCCCTCTGTCTCGGTTTGGCCACACTTCCCGCGGCGATTCTGCCGTCAAAACAAGTCGGTCGGTGCGCTGACAGGTTCAATAATTCAGCAGTGGTGCGCCCCCAGGGCCCGAGCGGTTGCCGTTTTTGTACGCGCTCGGCGCACACAGATCAGAAGCCTCAACCCCGACAATTAGACGAAAAAGTTGCCGATGAGTGCGTGAATCATGCAGTGGTTTAGCGCACCAAGGTGTGCAGCGGTCGACTAAGCATTGATCGGGGTGTTTGTACGCCAGTGATTTAGTGCCACCAGTCGAGTTAAAAGGCGATCAGCTGGCGAGAACTTTCGGCTTAGCGCGACTAAAGTACGCTGCTCACAGACAAAGATTAGCCTGTATTAGTCAAATAAATCAGGCGTCCAACCAAGTGCATTTGAAATGCAAAGGGTATGCCATTATGCTCAATTGGCTTCTGTTCCTGAGTTTGCCGACCGGTATCGAAGGCGGGCTAAAAAGGGTGGAGTGAACGTCCTGGAAACTTTGCGTGCGCGTAACAGCTCACTCGATACAAACCACCATCCACCTCAGTCGTGATTGGTGGACAAACTCACCGGGCTCAGTCCATAAAAAAATCAGGCAATGTCGTGGCCAGAGTCGCTCTGTCGTGTTTTTACGCCGGTCCGCAGCGTCGCCGTCAGACGCAGCCGACTTTCAGCGCAGTAATTGAAGTTTTACAGTTTTCGGCTCGTGTAGAAAAGGTCAAAGGTCCCTAATCGCTTCCGTGTTTCCAAATGGCGCGCTATAAACCGGGGAATTGACTGCCATTGTGCTATGTGCTGTGCTAACGTCCTGCCTCCTATCAGTGGCACATGCTCCAATTGAGGGTGGTCCAATTGCTGGCTTCCTAGCACAAGCAATATCCTTTCCTAAGTAACCAAAAAGTGGGTGATATTCAGTGAACTGGGGAGGGGCGAAGTGATACGGGGAGACAGCTGTTGACGTCCCGGTAGTTCCGCGGCTATCAACTGCAGCACCCGGCCAGCTGCCGACACCCAGCGCCCAGCACCCAGCGGAAAGGTGCCCACTGCCCACTGCCCAGCCAGGCGCGGCGCTGCGACTGGCCAGCGCTGTAGCGGCTCGGTCCAGCCCGCGGCAGCCTGGAAGGGTAGACTGTGCCGGGATACACGGCGACTCCGCGGGACTGACCACTACCCTCCGCCCGACGCGCCGCTAACACGGTGCGGTCAGTGTTCGCAGGGAATCGCGCCGCCAAAGGAAGCTGTCCGCTGAATCATCTGACAAATGAATTGAATTGAGAATTAGCGGAATAATTATGATTAGCATTTTTTTTTTTATAGATTTGTCTTGCATGGAAACATAAGTAAACCGACTCAACGTGAAAAGTTTGCTATCAGATTCCATATCACCATCCGTTCGTTCTTTCCGTTCACTGTCTTATGATGAAGAATTTTGATGACCAGCGGGACTGGTTAGTGGTTTGGACATGGTTTGGGTGGCATGCGCATGATGTGCCGGCCTCCATGCTAAAAAACACTGATTTTCGATTGCACGAATCTCGGACTCAAAACGACCCACAGCTAGAATAATACGACGAATCGAACCGAGACGTAAGGGGTTTAATTTGTGTATTTCGGTATATATGGTATACAAATGTATCAAATCAGCCGATACAACGGAAATCGGTCGTTCGCACACGAAAGCATACGGTACAAACATGAAAGACAGATGGTTGCAAGGTGCCATATATGTACAAAATACACATACTTATCGCCTAATATCGGCCATGGAGACAGACTACATAGTAAATGCATACACTTGGTGATCTTTGATCCAGTTTCCAAGGCCATTTCATGTCGGTGTCTTAGAATATCGTCACACGCTAAAAATGCATTCGCTGAGCAATAACTAAAGCCAAAACAAATCACGCTTTTGATTAACTAGAAAACTCTACAGCCACACCAAAAGCAGTGCGTCGCCGGTCAAATCAAACGCAGCATGACCATTTTACACCTACAATGAAAGACTGTGGCACGATGTTAATAAATGGGTCACCAAAGGCCATTTATTATGAATGAGCGCTCCTTGATCGGGGACTGCCGACAGTGGGTAATCGCCACAGAAAAACCCTCTCTAACGACTGTACAGGAAGAGATCAGTTGGGCGCCGACCGGGCACCCACCCAGCGCGGGGCTCCGCAGGTCAGCAGGCAGTAGCACCCGCCAGCGGCACCCCGTACCCTCCAGGCGCCCGTCCACACACATACATACACACAAGGAGACAAAACGCGCGACTAGACCATCGCTACAGCGCCGACTCAGTTACTACAACTCAAACGTGAAAGACATCGCGTAGGTTTACCAGCCAATCGCTAATGTATAAAAACAAAACAGCGCCGAAATGCCCGCGAAACTAAATAAAACAGAACGAATAACACGTCGGCACGAATATCGACAAAAATGCGCAACGCGAAACACTCTCTCCCTCCTGCAATGAAAGCCTCGTTCTCATTATTATCCATCCATTATTATCCATGTAGCCGAACTGGCAAGGATCCACCGCCTGTTGACTCCACCAATCAGCGTTTCGTTCGGCAGTGACGTCAGAGGTCTGTGACCCGCTACGGCCTGAGGGCACGGGCGAGGATGGCCGTGACTCCGACCACCATGGCGCAGCCGGTCACACCCGACAGCAGGGGGTGACGGTCGATGACGTCACGCAGAATCTCCTCGTGCGTTGGCCAGCCCTGCGGGAGAGGGGAGCGTATGTCAGTGGGGTCAGAGGTCACCGGTCACGTGAATCAGATCAACACCACAGCCACGGGTCTGAGGTCGCGACCTCCCAGCACACGTGGTCTCGAGGGATAGGACCACCCCAATCGTTGACAACTGTTATAACACTAAACACGTCACAAAAGCTGCCGGATCAGTTCGCGAGGCCACTGGTCCACAGACGCGAGCCGGCCGACCTCGCGAACTGCTTGGCACCGCGCTCCTGGCACGGCCGAGCTGACCCGCAGCCAACGGATCGCCGGCAAAAAAACTGATTGGAAATGTGCCACCTTGTTCGTGGCTGCCACTGACTGACAAATGCGCACAATGCCACGTGGAGTCCGGCCTCGAGCGTGCAGGGCAGGGCCGCGAGCCCCGAGTAACCGCACGATAAGCCCGCCTCTGGGAGAGATCGTTTGCGGTTACGTTGGCGCGGTTTGTTTATCGACTGAATGGGTCATAACGCAGTGCACGGTGAAGCCATCCAGCCATGAAATGACCGCCGGCTGCCCGCATGGGTCCGATTCCTGTCGAGACGTGAATCTCGGGTGGTCATGCCGGACCTCAAATTATGCCAGGTGAGTCACCCAAAGGCGCAGCGCCGCGCGGCCACTCACGGACATGAAATGTGCCCGGTATTTCGGTCAGCGCTCGATCGACCAAGGCCGCACTGGTTCCTTCGCCGACACGTCCGAACAAAGCCCGCGGCGGCATTGAGGAATATGCACCAAAAACCGGCTGACGGAGGGACACCCGCCAGCAAAAACGGCAAAAAATCCCGGTATAGGGTCGCGCCGATGCCCCGGTCCTCACCACGAGTCTGTTGAGCTGCAGCTGGTCGGCGATTCTGCGCAGCTCCTCTCCCACGTGTCGCAGAGTGGTGGACACCGCGCCGCTCCTGTCAGCTCCAGCTCCAGCTCCAGCTCCAGCTCCAGCTCCAGCGCCGTCCGAGCTACCAGCTCCGCCGGCCTTCTCCCGGGGCCGGGCGCCGCGGCCACGGGTCAGGTCACGCCGCGCGCTGCGGCCGCCCTTACGGGGCGGGGGCGGCGGCGGCGGGGGCACCGGGCGGAATTGAGCCAGGACCAGCTGGAGGGCCCAGTGCAGCTCACTAGACGGCGGGGGAGGTGGCGGCGGCGGCGGCGGTGGTGGCGGCGTGGGGTCGTCAGGAGCCAGGTCCGGGGGAACGGATGGGTCCGGCGAGGGGATGAGATCAGGCAAGGCAGCTGGGCAGGCCTGGGGCCCGTGGGAGAGTGCTGAGGCTGCCGGGAGTAGCTCGTCTTCTGTCGTCAGTGTGCCTGAAAACAAGGATAGCCCGCGGTTACAAGGTGACCAAAAACAGCACAATACAGGTCACAATAAGGGCCATTTTACAATACATACAGATCAAATATTGTATGCGATCGTCGCAGAAACAGACAAATGGAAGACGTTCGATAAAATTGCGTCCTTTTGGCAATCGCTACTGATAAAATCAAAATAGTGCAACATCTGATCAGACCGTCGATACATTGAATCATGTCACGGGTCACTAGGGCTGCGCGGTCATGACCTAGTATCATAGCACTTCATAATCAGAGCAAAGTCAGCAGGTCTGTTTGTTTTTGTAGTGAGTATCAGCTACTGATAAGAGAAGCTCAGATCAGTGATCTTACTTGAAGACGTTTCAATACCTCGTCAAGTGTGTTGCGTCAACACTTGTATTCATGTCAAGGTGCCCTAAGTGGTTTTTTACTAGCACCCGGGCCAATAAAAGTTACCGCACTCGAAAGACCATCGTCGGCAATCATGTGAAGTGGGAAAATCATAAACGGTAGTTGAAATGAATTTCAGCAAGACGCTACCAGCTTCGTGCACAATGTTTTGGGTAATTGAACTGATTATTTCGAAGCGAAGGACCGAACCTTCAAAGGCCTAACCGGCACCCGTAATGAAACTGCTCGCCATCCTGCAGAAGTGATGCAGCTTGAAACACTGATTTTAAGCCAAGCACTAAGACTGAACATTGCGGGACGTTTTGGATGCATGCGGGCATTGGTACATCTTTGTGTAACTGCTTTGGTCGCTGTCGCTGCATGTCATACAATAAGCATGCAACAGTTGTCCGTTTTGTTAACGTGCTGTGCAAACAAAACATACCTAATTACAATAAGTGAAGAGCAGCTCGGAAAAAAATCGTATCTCGGAAAAAAATGTTGATAAAATTTATTGCCAAGTGCCATGTAACTTAGAGCATTTTACGAGATCTCGGCATACGGCTTTGCTATGTCAAACATTTAAATGTTTCAGCAAGTGAGTAGTCGGTAATATTGTTGCAAGTTCGTTTTGTTTCAAGTACTATTGTTGCGAGCAGTGGTTCGCATTTAGTGTTCGGCGGGTACATAATACTAAAATTGGCACTTAACTGAGACTCGCACTTTAGGAATAACAATTTTCCAAAGCTACTTCCTCTCCTGATGGTTGTAGCACTATAATAGCTATGCAATTAACCGTATACGTTTTATCTCCGGTAGAGCGCCCATATCAACAAAACAATTGTGAAAGAACTAGATGTGGAGTTATGCGTATTCCTTTATGGTACTTCTTTTGTTAGGTTAGGCCCTTCCGGTCACCCCGGTACGGTAGATATGCAGAGGCTTATAAACTAGAGTGCCAACTATTTCAATGTTGATTTTTATAATGCAGCAAGTATACGTCACACTCGGTACTCCAAACATATACTGTCACTTGTGACATCGGATAAGGTGGCCAATGCGTGCCAGATTCCTACACTAACGCACATAACTATCCCACAATCTCACCCATCACTGCACCTGTCCCATGTGTAGCGCCCCGGTACTCACCGACGTCTCTGCAGGTGGCGGCCTGGGCCGCGCTGGCCGTCACGTGACCAAACACGCGGCTCAGTACGCCGTCTCCGCGCAGCACGTGGTGCACGTGACGGTGCCGTGCGGCGCTGCGCTCCGTCTCAGCCGACACCGGCACGGCGGCGTACAGCAGCAGGTCTCTCAGCGACATGGTGGCTGTCCGCTGCCCGCGCACCCTCACCAGACGCCGCCCGGACTCCAACTGACGACCCGCCGCCGCCGAGCTCCACCGTACCGGGCTCCGGCGACCGTGGCGCCTCTGGCGGCGGACGGCGGAGTCACTCACGGGAGCCGGCACGCGCGAGTGAGCTGCTGACGTGAGATGCGAGCGGTGGGGAGGGGTGGTGGCGAGGTCAGGGGGTCACGGGATCCTGAGCGGCACCGGCGCGGCGCCCGGTGACTGCGACAAAGGTGTGACTGCGGCCAGAGATCAGAATAGGCTGGGAATTTGGTATCGGGTTTCGGTGGTTTCTCAATAAGATTGCCAACCGGTCTGCACTGGGTTGACGTAATTAACAGTGCACGCTTCTAACGACTTATCATAAGCACCGATTAGCTGTACCGAGCAGATCTGAGCAGCGAGGCGGCGTGCCATGGGCTTGGTGTTACTGCATTACGCCGGCATTGTTAGACTGCACCGCATGACAGCTGCTGCGTGGATAGACTGTCCCGCAAAACATCCGTAGCTTGTAATGGGCTTGCTTACCCAGTACCGGATGTCTTTATAGCGTCGGTATTGGCATTATAATTGATTGCAGATTTCCACTACTAATGCGCTACCATCCAGAAAAAAATGCACTTTTCTTCCCGTTCACATTTGATTCATCCAGCGTGACATAGCTCTCCTCATGGTCACCATTATCAGTCTAGTCTAAATAGTACGTATATAAGTACTACAGCCACATTATCGGAGACGCACGTCATAGGAAATCATAATCTGCACAGCCGGCCGCGGCCGGGGGCGATCGGCGGCGGCGGCGGCCGACGTCTACATCACGGCCCTTTGTCGGCCCTCGCCGTGACGTATAGAGCCCATAAATGCCCCTGCACCACCAGTCTGAACCATTCAGTGGCGCTCTGTGCTAATACGGAGCCAGCGGGACGACCATTCGACGTAATGGCGCGCTCTATCTAATTAACATTAAAAATAGACGTGATTACGGTTTACGCGTTGGCGGCCGTTTTTGCCCACTCTCCGGTGCCTTTCCGTCTCTGCGGGCATCAGCAGTAAATCGGAACCACTGGGCAAACGGGGCCGTAAAGGTGTTGGGGGGCCTACTGTAAAACTAGGCCTATACTGTAAAACTACAAAGTCACCCACTTGACCGAAGTCGACAACACTGGTTTCCCAGCGTAATTAAACGTAAAACTACGCAATGAAAAGACACATACAGTGAGAAACTGAAGCCTTTTGAGCTTAGTCACTTAACCCGCGCGGGGCTGGGGTCTCCAGCCGAACGCGCGGGGCTGGGGGGGGGGGGGGGGGGTGTAAATTTTACCCCCCCCCCCTGTTATCTCCCGAACTAATGGTCCGATTTGGAAAATTCAAACGCCAATCGAAAGATCTCATCACGAACAACTAAAAACATGTACTTAATTTAAAGTTTGAGGTCAAGGTCAAGGTCAGGTCAAGGGTACAAATTGCAAGTTCCTACAGTATCGGCCTTGCACCGTAGTTGCCGAAGAATGGAGTCATGGACTAAGACTGATTGCCCAAAACGTGTTCTTAGGTTACCAAAACAATATTCGTTGCATACAATATCATTCAGAGGTCAAGGTCAAGGTCAGGTCAGTTCAGGTCAGGTCACCAAAAACAAAATATAGAAAAGGGCATGTGCGACACATGTTTTATGGGTCATTTTACTCATAGAATTCAATAGGCACACTCAATAGGTGATATGGACCACCTCTGGATGAATTTCAGGTCGAGGTCAGGTCAAGGTCAGGTCAAGTGAGGTCAAATTTTGAAGTTGGTTGTTAAGGCCTAAAAAGGTGTCTATCTGATGCAGTTTTTCACGGCAAATCGAATGGTGCTATTGTTGTTTCCGTACGAGGTCTAGAACTTCCCAAAAAATCATTTTTTCAATTTTTTTTTGTGTGTCGTGACGTCATAAAATGTTGAATAACTCACACATTTTTGAACCGATTCTTCTAAAAATTGGTATATACGTGCACATAGACCACTCCTCTGAAACACATTCCGTTTTTTCGATACACTTAAAATTTTGGATTTTATAATTATTTTCCAAAAAAAAGTCAGTTTTTTGGAAAAAATTGACCAAAATCCAAAATATTCAAAAAACCGAGATAGCCATTTGATAGACAAAGTAGAATTACGTATAACCTTTTTTGTTACGTCTTGATTCCTTTAAAAATGAAGATGTTAGCGGCGTTTGAAATTTTGCCGTTTTTGAGGCGAAAATGGCGAACATGACGTCACTAAAACGTCAATTTCTCAAAAACTTTCCGACGGATTTCGCTCAAATTTTAGAGAACGTGTCAAATTGATGTCAGAAAAGGTATTGAAAGTTTGGCGGCGCTGCGCGCCGCCGTTTTTGAGATATTGCAAAAATTCGCCCAGGGGGTAAAATTTACCCCCCAGCCCCGCACGGGTTAACTCAGTGGACGTTTAGTTTTCAAAACCAGTCAGAACGGGAGAGGGGTGGGCCCAATTCCGCAGTAATTCCCTCCCCCGAAAAAAAACTGTTCAACTTTGTGAAAAAAACGGCTAGACACGTTCACTGGCAACATAGGCGCAGAATTGTCTGCAATGCCAGGGGTGGCAGCTCAAAATCCTTGCGCAGTAAACCACGCATGTTGTTCGAAACTCTTCACCATGTGCAGGCGTCGCCACCGAGGTGGTGCCGCCGGGTTCGCAGAGCGCTGCCCACGCGACTGCTGCAATGCTTCAGCATGTTTAGTCCACGCAACTCTGCCCAAGCGTGACATGTGAGCTTCCATGGGAAATGAAACTGCAATATTCGGCAGCCACCCCTTAATGAAGATCTGTTGATTGTTGTTGATTTTCCCTCCGGCCGCGGGTGGCCCCGCGGCGTAGCCTCATCGGCTCTGGAGGGCCCTGAAGGCGGCCACCAGGGCCGCCACCACGTCACTGCGCCAGACCTCGTCGGGTGTTGGTAGGATGTTCCCTACGGCCGGGATTTTGAGGCGAACACCCATCAGGCCCGGGCACGTGAGCAGGATGTGCCGGGGGGTGTCCGCCTCTTCGCCGCACAGCGGGCACCGGGCGGCCTCGCATAGCAGGTCCCGGCATTGGGCGCAGGCGGCTGAGGGGCTCCGGCCGATGGAGTGCAGGAACTGGGTCGATCCACTCCAGTGGCCAGTCCGGATCTGGTGGACATCGATGGCTGTCCGCCGCTCCAGGCCGGAGACCGGGGGCGGGTATCTCGTACCCATCAGCTCCCGGTACCAGCCGGTCGCCGCTCTGCGTGTCGGGTCTGGGTATGACGGTCTGTCCCTGGCCGCCTGGTCCCTGGCTAGACGGGCCGCAGCCTTGTAGACGGTGTTGACGTCGATGGAGGCGATTTCTTGATCCAGCGCCGCCGCCTCCCCCGCCAGCACGTCCGCCGCCTCGTTGCCTGGGATCCCACAATGCGATGGGACCCACTGCAGCGTCACGTGGCGGTTCGGTGTGGCGATTTCCAGCAGGCGGCTCCATATCTCCGCCCCCTGGACCGTCCTCTGGGCCGAAGGCCCCTCTCTCAGTGCAGCCAGGGCAGACTGTGAGTCGGTACAGATTATTATTGGCAGCGTGTCGTCACGAGGGTGTGTCGCCAGATGTTCCAGGGTCATTGCGATGGCCAGCATCTCCGCCCTGAAGCTGGAACAGAGCGCTCCTGCGGGCCTCTTCAGCTCAGTGCGGTCATCATCGGCGTGGACGACCAGCGCGCCGGCCCCTCCACAGAGAACGCCTCCAGTCGCCGACCCGTCGGTCCACACCCAGGTCGCACATTGGGTCAGGGACGCCAGGTGGTGTAGGGCGGCTTCCTTCTTCGTGGAGGCGGCAGCTCCGGCTGGGAGCCCCGCTCCGATGTCCAGGTTAAAACTGATCGTGCCGGTTGGTTGCCAGGGCGGGGGCGCACGGGGAGCAACGGCTCCACCGGTGGCTCCACTCCAAGGGTCCGCCACACCTCCCGACCCAACTGGCGCCATCCGCAGACGGTCTTGAGGCGCCGCGGTGGGTCCGCCACGGCCAGTCGGTGTAGCGGGTCCTCCTCGGGCAGTGCCATGGCCTTCGCCAGCATCCTCGCCGCCAGTGCTGTGCGGCGCGCCGCGACCGGGGCCACGCCGGCTTCGGCCATTACTCCGTGCGTGGGGGCCGACCCGATGCAGCCCGTTATGACTCGGGCCGCGGCACGCATCTCGCGTTCCAGAACTTCTATGTTAGTCCTGGCGGCCGCCGGCATCCAGGCGGCCGCCGCGTGTTCGATGGCTCCCCTAACGTAGCCGTTGGCGACGGCCCGGAGTTGTCTCTCCTCCAGGCCCCAGCTGCGACCGGTGATTCGTCGTAGTTGAGAGATGCGAGGGCGGACGCGGCGGCGGAGGTTCCTGCAGTGGGGGCCGAACCCCAGAGTCCTGTCCAGCGTTACGCCGAGTAACTTCAGTTCAGGGCCTCCTTCCACCGTCTGGCCCGCCACACGGATGCGGCAACCGACGGCGTCCCGGTGGCTCTGAGACAGAACTAGAAGCTGGGTTTTCTGGCCCGCCACCTCCATCTTGTTCTCCCGGGCCCACTTGACCAGGGTATCGGCCGCTCGTTGTGCCCGCTCCCGCGCGACTTCAATCGTGTTACCCGAGCACAGTGTGGAGGTGTCGTCCGCAAACATGTACGGAGTAGTGCCCGGCAGGGCTCGGAGGGTTGACGCTAGTGGAGCCGACCACAACAAAAACAAGGTCGGGGACAGAACACTGCCCTGGGGCAGCCCTGCCCTGTAGACGCGCTCGCCGCTCCTTGCTCCGTTGAGCTCGACACAAGCCCGCCGGTCTCTGAGGAAGCTCCACACCCAGGAGTTGAAGCACGCCGGTACTCCCATCTCAGCGAGCCGGGCACGCAGGAGGCGATGGTCCACCTTATCGTACGCTCGTGCGAAGTCGTACGCAACGAGGACGAATCTCTGCGCCGACTCACCGTCCGGCAGCTGTCTCCGGGATGGGGGGCACGGCTTCAGCTGCCATCCGTCCTGAA